ACTAGCTGTGAGTTTATATATATATTTTTTACATGCTCTCCCTGACAACAAATATATGGCTCAATGTTGTTTCTCCGTCGTTCAGATGACACAGACAATCTCCAGCGCTACGCTGATTCTTCCAAAAGACAATTCACTGATGTGAACCGTGAGCAATCGATCATTTTACCAGAATTGAAGTCCATTTAAGTCGACTTATATTTATTTTCCAAGGCGAAGGACGCGATATTAGAAATCATCTGGGCAAAAATGCAAAAACAGATTTTGGTACAGATGAAAGCAAATTCCGGAAAAAAATCGTCGTTCGAGACGGTAAACGAATAAAGCTTTTGACACCCGCCGTCTTATCCGCACGGGTGACCAGTCTCTGCGAAAAGGGCGATTTAAGCCAAGCAATTACTTTAGTCAAAGAGTCGCCGCTAGATGCCCAAAATTCTGTGGTATGGACGACGCTGATCAAGTATGTTCTTAAACAGAAGAAATATCAAGAAGCCTACCGTCTTTTCACCGATGTCAGTGCGCATTTTCCCGCTCGAATCCCACATTGACACAGCATGACCGGCAGATGAAACGCAGAGGAAATCGACCAACGCTACGAACATATGGCACTTTATTCAAGGGATATACCCAAATTGACAACTGGGACGGCTTTTCACTGCAACTTGACAATGTCTCCAGCCTCTATGACCAACTGATGCGACACACAGAGAATATTAAAGAAAGTCGCGAGCCGACGGAGGATTTGAGTAATATTCCTTTCAATCTTCTCATCGAGATATTTGGGAAAGCCCAGGATTTCCAACGGATGTACGACGTCTTCAATGCTATGGAATCCAAAGGACCTCTAGCGCCAGATTTGTTTACTTTTACTGCCCTTATAAATGCAATCGGTGGTCGAACACTTATCAGATTATCGAAAACAAACGATGAAATCGAAGATGCAAGGCCAGTTGTAGCTGATCATAAAGCGTCACCATCACCCACGGAGCTTGCCTACAAAAATGCGGCGGACGCAAAGCTTATCTGGAAGCAATTAATTCGGACATGTGGAGCACCCGACGCACACGCGTTGAGAGCCGTGTTTGTTCCATTATCTCGTGGGAGACCTTCGGACCAAAATTTCATTCTAGATATTGCTCAGGAATATTTAGGGCTGTCGCGTCCTGGAGAACGGTCTCTTCCCTCGAAAATGCCACTGCATCCCCAGACGTTGAATATCCTTCTTTCTACGTGCAATAGAGCATCCCGGTACAGGTTTACCATCCATTATATCGAACAAATCATCGATACACGACGTGCATCTATGTTGGCAACGGAGCATATGGACCTGGTCATGGCAGCCCATGCCGCGCTTGCTTCCTCAGACTCTGGCGAGTCTGAACAAGCACTGGATATGTTGGAATGGATGCTCCGCATGAGTGCACTCCCTGTGGCACACATTCCCGAAAGCGGTCTCGGTCCGAAAATCAGGCCTGAACAGACCACGTATGACCTCGTCGCTCTGGCGTGTCACTATGGCGGCGACTGGAAAAGTATATGCCGCACTTTTGAGCTAATGACGGGTCGTTCTCAAGAAGAATTCCGCACCTTGGGCCCTGATCGGTTACCGGAAGATTCGCGTATGAAGCCCAGTGGCAGTTTCATGGCGTGTTTTATTCGGACGGCATTCAAGATGAGCGATATCTCAAATCGGAAAATGGCACTGAATGTTTTGCAGTATTATGAACCTAGTTTAGTTTCACTCTTTGATGCGCAGCCACGGGGTGATTCAGCGCCCCCCCGCAGACGACAAATGGATAGCCTCCTTGATGCGAACAGGTTTGCAGAAGGATTGGTGGCTGTGCTACCACAAGTAATCAAATCTGAGGAATATGACAAGGACACAAAGGCCGCATGTTCGAAATGGTTGATGCGCGCGAAGACTTTCAGAGATATCCAGAAAAGATAGGCGGTAGTGGATGCGGGTATAATATTACTACATTATATAACTCCACATTTTGCGTGTGGATGAATATGGCTACAAACGGCGCGGATCCTGTTCTTGTAAAACGGTACCGGTTTCAATGCTATCGATAAGCTCCCTCAACGAGTTTTTATGTCGCGGAGGGAGAAGACCGCCCTTTGAAAAACTGATGGGCACGATGCGATGAATGGTGGATCCTGCTCCGATGCATGTGAGAAGACAAAACGCAACACCAAGCGATCCTCGACTATTCTCTGCATACTCCTTTTCCATCAACTCCCGTTGTTTTGTCAGCTCCTTGAACTGCGGGTTGGCGCTGAACTTGAGCAGAGCGTCGTAGGTCACTGCTCCGGTTGTGACGATGCGAAAGCGTTTCTCCACCTTGGGTTCGGTGGGCTCGTAGTCGACGAAGAGCATCATGACTTGCGTCTCGTGCGCAGTAGACCGTTCAGGCAGACCCAGGCAGTCTTTAAAAATTGCGTGAGTGGGATTCTCGCATCGCTTGCGTTCTGAGCAACTCACCGACGATGGCCTGCGCAAGCGTCGGTAGATGTTGAGCTGTCCATTTGAAAAGATCGTTGTTCATACGGGCGAGAAGCGCGCTCTTTTCACAGTTGATTCTTTGAGCTTCGGTCTGTTTGCACTGGACCTTGTGGTATTTCCAATGATCTCGCTGGCATTCCCCGCTCTGGTTCAAGGGAAAAATTCAGCCTTTAGACAGTGCATGAAGATGCGAATACCGACGCAATAAGCCGCCGAAAGACACTTGCCGCACTTGTTGAGAGTGACCTCTGATTTCCGACCCCAACACCCTTGACAGCGAATCACTTTATGTCTGGTCTTTCTAATAGGAGCAGGCTCAGATTTGGATGAATGAGGTGTTCTAGTGGGGCTCATTGGGGCGGATAACTCCTCTTAGTTAAAAAAAATGAGTCTTGTTTTATGGTGTAAATGTAGATATCTCACAGTCCCACGCCACCGTTTCGAATTGGCGCTAGCTGGATGTGAGCTTTTTGTCAAGGGGATAAGTACAATCGCATTCTATTTTGGTTCGACTTCCTCGATGCAGTCCTTATTCACCTTGTTGTCCATTTTAACCGGCGTACATCACACTGCCACTTCGGGAATGATGTCTTCCGGTATATATACATAAATTAAATGCCAGCACTAAGATGGCTTCCAACGGCACCTTCTGTTTTTTTCTCTCATTGATTGTCGCTGGCACAGATGTATTACAGATATTCCTAAAGATTATACAAAATGTTCCAAAGTCCCACAGCCTTTTTCCCGAGTGCCAAGGGGTTTGGCTGTCGGAATCCAAATAGCTGATCAATGACGTTCAAGAAACCTAAGCGGGTGGCTTTGTACCTTTTGTAGAACGTCGCCAATATCTAGTTAGGAAGTTGGGCGATAAGCAGTTATGGCTGGTAGTGTAAATGAAGCGCTCGCTGCACACTGCCGAACAACAATGGGCCGCCATTGTGATTTGTGAGCGCGCTTCCAAACTTAGACAATGAGCCACAAAGGCTTTGGATATCACCCCTTGCATATGCGTCAAGTGTGACCCACGTGTCTTATTCTGTACCTCACTTTATTTATCAGTCGTTCAGAGAGGGACACCCGATGACCCGATGAGCATTCATGACGTTACTCGTGGTATAATGACAGAGGGGTTTGCCATAATACGACACAACAAGGCAGAGGAACTACGCCACCTGACTTGTTTTTTCAGCCAAAATCGCGATCGTACTTCTTCGGCTGTTCTCACGTCCCGAAGATCAAGGGTCACTTGTTATTTAACACTACAGTTACGTTTGAAGACCCAGGTTGCCTAGCTGAACTTCAAGTGTCTTTCCTTAATCTTTCAATCTTTAGTAAGGTGAGGAACGCGATCCCTGATACAAACGGAATACTGTCAGCTTCACTAACAAGAATCGGTGCATGCATGGAAAACGTGAGGAATAATGGCCGGTACGCTAAATGTCAACCAGTCGCTTGCAGGCCTTCCGAACAGCGGGAAAAAGAATTATATCGTTTTCATTGATAGAACAAGTAGTTCCCGAGTCGCAGAACCATGCCTCATTTCGATTTTTTCGTTTCACTGCTCTTGGGTAACCATTGGACGGAGTGGCGGTTGAATAATGGCCATGGAGGAACAACAACCTAAATAGTGTTAGTATGAGACTTACAATACATTGGATGAGTCGGCTCACGAGGGCAAGGACCACAAGGGCACATGCAAAAGTACCGAATGTAGCCATTAAGGATTGCATGACGACACCCACAAGAAATGAGATAATCTGTGACGTGAGGCATGGGCATTATATTATGCATATTAAGAATTCTATGGGAAGACATAGAGGGTCCTCACAGTTGCCGAAATCAATGCATAACGGGTGATAACATCCGCCAACTTCTGCCCCTCAAAGTCCTTGTTGAGGAAAATCAAAGTGACAAGGCAATTAAACCTCCGTGGAGATGCAAAGGCCATTCCACTTACAATCTTTCCATCGAAATATTCAAGGAGCTGTTTCTGCAGACTCATAGTGGTGCGTAGTAGGTACGAGGCAGCTGCTTACGTTATGCCATGCATCACATGTGACCACTGTCACCGTGGACTTCCATCCGATTTGCCTGGCTTAAAAAATAATAAAAAACAAACAAACCAAGGAGCAAGGGAAATATCATTGCGCAAAAGAGCTATGAGCCTTTAAAGGTTGAAATACCAAGGTATTAGAACTATCCAAATGTCTCGACCAAGCATGAGACATATCAGACAGGCTATCTCAAAAACTTAAAAGGAATGGATACATTACTTAAATGATCACGGTACGGGAGAGAGATCAATTTAGGTGCTGGAAGCACTATGGTGCACCGTAACTTAATATTTACATGTGAGCTATTCTACGGCGACTATGTATTATGTGAAGTAAGAGGTATACGATAGAAGATGCGTATAAATGTCGTTCGGCAGCAGGGCAGGCAGATAATGAATCTCACTCATTGATCTCAAGGTTAATGAGACATATAAAAAATATGCCCCCTGGCCGATTTGAACGACCGACCTCGTCATAACATACGCTTACTAGTGACGCGCTACTACCACTGAGCTAAGAGGGCGCATGGCTTCGGTGGCTGAAAGCTCATCTAATTGACACTGTTGTCACAACCCTTCTACGACATTGATTACAAAGTGTCTCCACGCATTTACCACGGATTTCTTAGCATAAATTTCGTCTGGCCGCTTCTGCTCAATATCAAGCCCACGCACTGCCAGATTAAAGACCTCGCCTTCCGAGCCATCACCACTCCCTCAGATCGAACAGTACAGAGGGATGAATCGGTTTCTGAAGAATTGTCCAACTGTGTGTTTCGAATGTCTCTGCCTATCAAGGGTTCAAGGGTTCCTCGCGGCCTCCGTTCCCTTATGGGATGTACCTCAAAGCCATTACTTGAACATAGTAGAATGACAGTTGAAAGTGCCTACTTCTGTAGTCTCAATTTAAACAGTCTCCGCGGGCAATATAATGAAAAGTGCTCTGTAGCCAGAGACAGTTGCAAAATCCACAGAGTGTTCCCTTAGGTGAGTCAAAATACGGAACGTCGCGGTGTCCTCGTCAATTAAACAGACGATCCTGTCGATTGTCATCCTCGTAGGTTAAACCATCCAAGTTTTGAAAGAGTCCCCAGCACTTTTGGGCATGATCCAGTCGAATACAAGCGAAAGTGCAGGTTACTATCGGATGACACGGAGGTGATAAAGGAATGGTGTTACCACACGCAAGGGAAAAGAAGTACATGAAATCATTTCAAATAGGCACGACGATGGAGACCAGTTATTCTTCAGATCTAGTTGCTGCAGTGTCATAGGAGAATCCAGGAAGTTTCTTTAGAAAACAACGCTTCTCTGTTATCCATTGGAGGTTCAACCGACTTCGTCCACTCATAATCGGACGGGTAATCACCTCCATGACCAACGACAGTGGCCGTAGGTGATCGTATTCGGCGATTTGGGGTTAAGGTCGTAAAGGCCACCATGACATGCATCTCGCTAACAAAAATAATTTCATTTCCGTAAGCAATATTGTCTAATAGAAATTGAAGTCCTGTCGAAAACGATCAGACCCCGATCGGCCTGAATCCCTACTTAAAGTACTACGAATCAAAGACTGGGACGCTAGAGCATCAAAGACGTATACCTACTCACTAGCCTCGGTATGAGCCACTGTTAGCCACAGTGCACGGTAGATTTTCACCATGGCATCACCGTGTCACAATAATGACAAAGTTCACTGCATCTCGACACGTCAAAGATAATTTGCAGGCAATGCGGTGAATGTATTGATCAGTAATATGAGATCCCTGACTACAGGGTGGTTGATGATATAGATGTAAAGTCAGGGGGGGGGGAGGAAGGAACAATGACTCGGGGACTGGTCCTTGAAAGAAATTCAAATTTATATTTAAATAACTCCTTTTCAAAGCAGGTATATTCGTACATCGATATCTCCTATAGCTAGCCGACTAAGCTGTAGATGAGCTTTCATGGCTCATAGGTCTTCTTTTCCAAACATTTCTCGCATAATGATAGACGAACCTCACCATTCATTGCAATGATGCTAGCTAGCTCAGAACTTACATTAATGGGGCATAAAAGGCCCTCTTCTTCCATCAATCCCTAAAAGATGTAAAAGAGTGCAGTGGCTCTTGAGTCAGTCTAAGGTTTCCTTGTTGTACAGTGTGGTAGAAGGATACTAAAAACTCATCTTATAATCGGTGCTAGAGTCTATTAATCAACAGGGTACACCATTAAACAACTTGTTGACGTATAATATCTAATAGATTACACTTCCGATCAGCTGCCGAGCTCTTTACCAATCATCTTCAGACATTCTCTTGACAGGATGCGGCTGTTCACCTCGACGGATAACGCCTTGTCACCTGAGGATCCGCCTACGCTGGGCGATCCGTTGCTACCTGAAATTCCCACGACAAGTTCCCCTATAGTTACACATTCCTCAGCATCGATTAAAGAAGGTCTTAACCACGCTGTCAACGGCTTCGTAGGAAGAGTCGCGATCTCGCAGAGAAGGGGATAAAAATGGAATAAGTGTGCTACGGTTGACCGTTGAATGGTTAATGGAATTAGCCGGGATGCAGGTAAAGTGGAGTCCAACGCTATTTGGAAATTAAAAGATATCATTTTCCATAAAGACGTTGGAACATACGAGGCTGGTGAACTGCTACTTGAGAGGGCTGGCTCTGAAACGCTGCCCACAGCGTCCCCTGCCAGAGACGTGTTTCAAGTAGCTTCCGAAGCACATATAGAACTTCCTCTTCGACATATCTGAAAGTATTGGATAAGAGATAAACGATATAAGAATATTGGACAGGACCTTACCTCGGGAATGGAACATCTCCACGAAGCTTACAATCGGCGACATAATTTCCAATAACGCCGCCGCACCGATTCAATAGAGCGGGAAGGCACAAGGCTGCTATTCGTCGGCGAGCAGCTTCTTGATCTACAGTTCTTGATTTGAGACTCGAAATATAAAGAGGAGACAACACAATAGATACCTTTGGCAACATCGGAGCAGATCAAAAAGAGGAGGTCCAGACACCAATAAGAAAACCGTTCACGAGGCACTAATTTAGATTGATTAGTGGTTCCTTCTACATTTTCATCAACATTTTGTGGTTTGTCCCCCATGCGTTCAAGCTCCGATTCATTTGAGCCGGATCGATTATCATCGGTAATGAGACTAGACCGTTCTAAACACTTTGCCAACATGACGATCAGACGATCAGGAATGCGTGAATCACCCCCTAAATGTGGCACCACGTCAATCTCCAAGGTGGCTAAAAGTGCAAGATCGAAATTTTCTTCGGCTGCCTGCTCTGTGAGGGGTAATGATAATGCAGGGGAGCTATGTGCGAAAAGAATCAGAAATCGGAATCAAAATAGGAGAAGGACTTACCAATCAGCAAGAAGAGCACCCCGGTAGACATCTAATATCTGGTGCCAAATCCCTTCCACCCTGATGTCGGGTACAGCTGGCCCACAACTTAAGAGCTACAGCCAATTTAACATACGATGATAAAGCTTACCGTCGCCAAACGCTTGTATCTTTCCCGCACATTCTTTCACAATCCGGAGAAAGCACTCAGTAGCGGTCTTCCAAAGAGGTGTGTCATTGCCAAACTTCGAAGGTTCTGGGCAATCATATTTAAGCTTTATCGGTATTGAATATGCCTTCGATAATAGTCAATTAAAGCCAAACGAATTGTTAGAAATGAGAAACGTACAGATAGGACGGCCTCTAGGGTACCATCATAATATATTTCTGAGGAGTCCTTGTATTTTAGGTATAATTCCACAAGCATCGGCATGGTTTTTTTGGCGAGCGCTATATATGTCACGCGCTTAGGGACACGACGCGAAGATCCATTTGCCGGAATTGACGACTCTGTGACATCAAATGCTGCAAGGAAGGGCAACGTAGCGGACGACGAGAGATCCGACAGGATCAAAGATGGCGAGGAAGGGATAGTGAGCGAAATCGAAGAGACGGTGGACATGAACGCAGCCTATATTAAAGTAAGTAAAAAGATTGTCCTCTATTAACGAATTCTTACCTGAACAGGAGTCAGAGAGTCAATATCTGGCCTGTACTCGACCGAATTGGAGTATGTGACAGTTCCCTTCAGAATTGCCATCAACCGACTCAATCTATCAATTGACCATTCGGTTTCTGCCTCTGCTCCTTCTTGACAGCGTGTTGCGGTCTTACTAACATCTCTGGTTTTTTTAATCACATCGAGAAACGCCAAAAGGCTATCCTGGGTGAATGGTTGTATACCTGGTCTTCCAGATTTCTCTGTAGAGCCCGAACGAGGACTTTGTAAAGTCGCCGCAACGGTGCTTTTTGACACCTTGGTACCCATCTCATCGCATGCGGTCCACACCCGTTCACTGGCATCGGTGACAAAATGCACAAGCTCGGGATCACTAGCTGAACCGATCAGGGCTTCTAAAGCGCGTTCGAGGCAACGAAGTGCGGCGGTGCTGACAGGGCGATTGTCAAAACAAAATGAATCCTCAACCTGTGAGATGAAATTTTCCCAAACATTCGAAAATGATGACAACCGGATGATTTTGAGAGTTAAGAAATCGGAAAATACGGAGGAGAGTGACTGTAATGCAAGAGTTTTCGATTCATCCCAAGATGGATCTGGAGTAGTCCCTATGGAATTCTCTCCTCGTCGAACAGATTCTGTCAAAGCGGCCAACAAAGGAAAAACGACCTTCCAGACGCATTCATCCCAGGTCTCTAAACTTAGGGTTGCACCGTATAACTGTAAACTTCGGAATAAAGTCTGGATAGCGCCAACTCTGACTTCGTGGCGCGGATCAGTGCACAGCCCCAGAAGCTCCGATAATAAAAACATCCACAATGCGCTATATTCGGGTTCCTTGTCGGCATCTTTTCTTTGGGCTTGGATTGAATCTGATACACTCCACATCAAGCTGGCAGCGGCCGTTAGGGCTATGTTAGTATCCGCCTGTTTCCCGAAAAGTCCTAAGGTGCTGATACATAGGCGCAAATGATCTGACGAAAGAGAAGACAATGTGTCGCAGACCAATGTTAAGGACTGGAAGGCAATACGAATGAGACCGACGCTATTTTTGTCATCCAAGAGGGATGTCGGTCGACGGGGTCCACTGTCTTCGGTTATGACAGATAAATCCGACTCGGAAGGGAAGGATTTCGAGATAGGTGAACTTTGCGGCTTACACACGCCACCCAACATGCTAAATATTGTTTCCCAACCTATGACAAGTGTGTGGGCGGACGATTGAAGAATCTGATGAAGAGTCTCCAATCCCATACGACGAATATCGGGCATCGTACCAACGGACACTTGTTCCGATAGCACATTTAATACTCGAGCTTGCACTTGTGCTTGAAGATCCCCCGCCGTAGTAAGGTTACGTGGCACGATGACTAATATCTCATCTAAAATACGCGCAGCTTGCAATCTGATCGGAGTCGGCGCATGTATATGGCCTATAACAGCGAGTAAGTGCGCCGTGACCGCATTCCAGGCTACTTCGG